TGTAACTTGGTTTAGCCCAACTGCGGTGAAGAGACATCAAGAATGCAACATCAGCCTCAGCATGAGGCACGCCGTTTATATATACATGCATATATATATATATATATATATATATATATATATATATATATATATATATATACTTCAGGTTATTCAACGGATAAAACGGCTCCACACTGGCGCTACTGTTGTCTGTTACGTGCCATCCCATCCAGGGTTTGCGACCACAGGAATTCCGAGTCACGTGGTCGCCAACCTGGGCGGCGCGTTGATCCGACTGAAGCTAAGCTTGAGGCTGCTTTCTTCATACTCCTTTCCCACGTCATTGGTTGTACACAGCGACACTTTTCAGTCGCTTCTAAGAAGCGCAAATAATGCTCGCCGCTGAAGGCGAATTGCTGACATCCGCAGTACGTAGCCGAACCAACGCATGCGGTGTCGGAGAACCACGTTTTGAAGGCTTTGGCTGTTCGCTCCAAGCACTCGTTCACAAACCACCGTATTGCTTATGTAATGTTGCCACCAAACACGAGCAATCCTTCGCAAGCAACGGTTGTCAAAAACTGACGGTCGTCTCATGCCTTCCGAGCGGACAGGCCAGGTCTCACAGCCGTATAGCAGGACCGTACGGACGGAAGCATTATACACCCTGCCCTTGAGACTGACTTCACGACGACGCCATATGTGTCTCAGTTTGATGAAAGCAAGGCGGGCTTTTGTAATGCGTCTTGAAACCTCATCTCCAACACCGCCACCAGCCTTGATGAGATTCCCTAGATAAGTAAAACAATCCACTTGTTGCAGGATGTTACCAGCAATGGTGAGCGCGGACGCTGACCCATGCCAATCCTGAAATAGAACTTTACATTTGGCTGAGGTGAAATACAAGCCATAATTGGATGCCTCAATCGCTAAGCGATTTAAGTTGTTTTGGACGGTTTGCAGATGGTCACCCAGCAAAGGGATGTCATCGGCGTAGTTCAAGTCTGCGATTCTGGCATAATTCGAGACGGCTTTTGGCGCTCGTTGCACGATATGTTCGATGGCAAAATTGAAGAAGAAAGTTGAAATATGACAGCCTTTGCGAACGCCGCTGGTGACTGCAAACGAAGAGGAAAGTCTGTCGTAAGCCTTAGTTTTGCCCGACGTGTTACTGTACAGTTCCCTTGGAATGACGACAAACTTGTCGGTACACCCTACCTTAGTAGACAGTTTCACAAAGCAGCTCTTTATACTGAATCGAATGCCGCGCCGATGTCCAGGTACGCTACTATTGTTGGCCGACAGTGGACGTGCCGGGGCTCGAAAATTTGTCGGAGCGTGATCAATGCAACTTCGGCCTCGACGAAAACCGACTTTTTCTTCTCTGGTGTAGGAAACCTTACGAAATAAGATGGGCACAGAAAATCTTCGAGGCAACTGAGGTCAGTGAGATTCCGCAGTAATTAGTGCCATTTTTGCGGGGGTCTTTCTTGGGAAGCGGGACAACGATTGAGTCTCCGCATAAGTTGGGAACTTTCTCATCGGTCCAAATCTCTGAGAAAAGCGAGAGCAACTCGTTGACAAATACATCACCGCCTCTTTGAAAAGTGCAGGAGGAAGGCTGTCACCACCGGCAGCTTTATGCCGTTTCAAAGAACGGATTGCGCTTCGAATCTCTCTACTTCAGGTAGAAGGGTCACTGAGGACAGGCCAGGCAACATCCGATGGAGATGGTGTTGTCACAGGGAGATGTGCTGGGTTGTTAAATTGACGAACAAAGTGCTCTGCATCATCGCTCCAATCGCTTCTGCAGGTTGATGATTTTTGTGCCGTCTGACTTATGGCATGTGAATTGCAACCGGTGGCCTTGATGAGACGAAACAAACTACGGCAGTTTCAGATCGATACTGCGGCCTCCATCTCAGCAGCACACCTAGACCACTAGGATTCACGGTCAGAGCGAAGGTTTGCTTTCAGCTGTAGAGAAATAGACTGACGCATTTCGTTCTGTTCTGTGCCGGCGGGCACGGCGCGTCGACGACCTAGCAATTTCAAGGAAGTTGCCGTGATCCGGCTTTTAGCTGTGCAGGGGGCGAGGCCGCAGCTGTACAAACCTGCGGACAGCATGGTGTTTTGCAAGTCTAACCATTGCTGGTCTGCATCCAGAGAAGTAGAGGGGACAAGGTTTTCACGAAGCCTCTGTTGGTACTGCAGGATCTACAAATTTGCAAACGTTCAGTCGGGTTTGTTTGGCCCTTGAGGAGCCACCGAAGCGCATGCGAATTGTCGTGCACACCAACGCTTGATCGCTTTCCACACAGGTTGACCAGTATGATCGGCAATCCCTTATGCTTCCACGCCACTTTCGATTTATTGCTATGTGGTCAGTTTACGACCAACGCTGGGTTGATGTTGAAGAACGCCCTGTGGCATAATGGCGCCTGGGGTTTACGGAACTCCTACTGGAGATGGAAACTTGTTGGTTGTCATACAGACTGAGTAATCTTTCTCCATTGTCAGAGCGAACATTATCAAATCCATTTAGTCTCCGAGGTGACGATAGCTGGTAGACTGTTGAGATCCCGAAGTCCTGTTACAGTCAGGTAATGGACATCCATTTCAAGGGTTTCCAAGGTATGGGCCAGTCCCGCTTATTGTCCGATCTGCAGTAGAGTGCACACATTTAATGTTGGTATCCTGACCTGAGTTCTTGGTGGTTGTAGCGATGATGGAAGGCGGTGGTTGCTGGTTTCCTGTGGAGCACTACGTGGCTGAGTTGGCGGATGTTGGTAGTACGAATTCATCGGTGGAGACAGTTGTTCACCATCGAGGCATCAGATATTGAAGTGGGTGAGTAATACAAAGAGAAGATAGGTAATCGGGTGGCGTGTGCTTGTAAACCTGATGAAGTAGCAAGAACGTAGCATATCGTGAGGGCGTGAGCGTGTTTCCATGGATACTGCCCGGTTGCCTAGGGCCATTGCTATGTAACCTATCCACAAGGCAGCGGAGCGAATTCAAGGAATCGCGCTCATTGGTAGTCGGTGACCGATTTCTCGGTTCATACGCCTTTCCTTTGGTCAGGTACCAAACAGGGGCCCTATCTTCCCCACAAATACAGCAGCAAGCTGCTGGATTACAACGCTCCACCGAAGGGAACCAAGGGGCAGTGACTTTATTTAGTGGCCGGTCACCTCCTGCACGTCGCAGTGTTGGTAAACGGACAGTTGTGGTTTTTTATTGGGGAAACTTGTTGGGAGAAAACCCACCACCTCCTGGAACACTGCCGCCGAACTATTCGCTGGAACGGGAAAAACGCGAACCACCCAACTGGTAGCACGAGGAGATTGTTCGGTAGGCCAGTCTCTTCCCATGATTGTCATGCTTTTGTTTGGCTCTGTGCCTATTTGTTTGACTGTTGTTATTACTATTACTAGAGCGTCTGGACTTTATTTTGTAAATCGAGACAGCACTCAGCTCAGTGATTTCTTCCTTCAGCCTTACCTCGTCTTAGACACCAAAAATATGAAGCGCTCTTGGTAGGCAGGGAGTAAACACACTTGGCATGTGCATATAGCCTCCGTATTTTGTCCAGTAGTGTTTGTTATCCAACAATCCGTGTGGTACTCAACTACCTATGTCCTCGGTGCTGCACACTACTGCTCTTCTGGTAACGTTTGTCAGCCAACTGAATGCACTTTCGATCCTCCGACTGACAAGTCAAGTTACACTGTTTCGGATGGCAGTTGTTCTCCTTGTCGCGTTGTTTACACCTTTTTTATTATCAGGATAATCTGCTTTGGTGTTACGGTCTTCACAACTTACCAAAGGGAGCTGTAGCTCTCGTAATATAACCTTATTTCGATATTATACCTGCTGATCATTATTGATGGGACTTTCTTCCGGAGTGTATTGTCTAGTTAAGTTCCGTTTTACATCACCGAAGGTCACCTAAATGAAACAGTCCTAGCTTCTGAAATCCATCGGTTCGGTTCAATACAGTTCGGCCTCTATAATCCGGTCATTGAATGGGATCAGCTGATGTCGCTTTGATAGTAGCTGATAGCACTGAAGAAAATACAATCTGAGAATCCTTACATAAACATACGTATGTTAGAATGGAAATACTGGCTAGTGTAATCAAGAGCATTATCATAGGAGTGTTCTGACTGGATTAATCAGCAAATCGATCTCTGCGGACCACATGGACAGGCGGTCAAAGTCACGCTGATGTACCTCGCTGCCGTTGTGACCATCGATTGCTCCCTCAGTCTTCAAGCCATTCGCAAAAAAGGCGCAAGGCGACCTGAGGAACTGACGCACTTAATCCGTGTGGATCACGACTAAACTAGATCGCAGTACTGAGTATTTGATAAATGGGCGAAGAACGTATTAAAGCCTGCACAGAAAGTTAACTCCACAAATGGTCTGGATGGTTTAAACACTAACCGATATATCTCAGCCCCAATTTCTGTGGGCTCTTGTTTAAGGGGCGGGCTGCTTCACTGGCGCCAGTGGTCAAGCACAAATGATCTCTAAGTACATTCAGCACTATCTGGTCACATCTTTGATCTGTATTTTGGCACTTTTCTAACTACAACGTTGTATAACCCGCTTCTCGCCGACAGGCTAATGTCCTGTCGTTTTCTTTCGCGGTCGCAGGTATGAAGGAGTAAACAGCCTTTGTTGATGCCCGTAGCAGCCATTTCAATGACAATGTCCACTAGCTTTGACACGGCGGCTGTCTTGGTGCTTGTACCAATTGACTTACTTAGGCTCTTCGTCGCCCATACGACCTGTTACCGTAACTGCCGCACCGTCTTTCAACAATGCTTTTGATTTTTCAAGTGGGAAACACGTGCCAATACTGGCGTTGAATCTCATTCATTTTCTTTTCTAATCGAACTCACTATTTTAGTTGTCTGATCTATCCCTAATCCTTTCAATAGCTTTCATATTTCCTTGAACTTTCAAATCAGTGATCAGCAGCGGTTTAACTCTTCACTGTTTTACTTCAGAATTCGCGGTACAAATTATCACAGCCCACATGGAATCCCTATAGATCTTCTCGACCGTTTGCTTATCATTTCCACTACAAGTTACACCGATAAGGAAGTCCAAGCTATTCTCAAAATTCGCTGTGAGGAAGAGGATGTGGATATATCAGAAGAGGCACTCGTGGTATTGACACGAATCGGTATGCAAACTTCACTGCGCTACGCTATCCAGTTGATCACAACAGCAAGTCTAGTGTGTCGTAAGCGCAAAGTGAGTCGACGTTTATGAGCACGTTCGCAAATTTATTGAACTTTATAGCCTATTCTTTGTAATAGATCCCAGCCAGACACTTCCGCTCATCCGAAGTCATTTTCTCCTATTGGGACTCGTCAGTAGTCTACATCCCCCGGCTTTAGCACGAACGAAACCCATTTGCTCGACCCCAGCCGCTTATGCAACTAGTTCTACGGGTAACCGCCTATACTTACATTTCTGCGGAGAATCGTCCATAGATTATATCAAAAATTCCCTACTCAGAAATACACTGGAATTCGGACTGAATAACACCTGGGAGGCTGTTTCGAGATCGATGCACGCCGAACAGACTATGATGATCGTTTTCTTCAACTATCTGCCCACCACAACCTTAACGTTGGCAGTACGGTGCCATCCGGTGCCCACCGCATTCCTCGATGCCCTGGACCCAAATTGACTATATTATCACCAGTTACAGATGACGCACAACGTTTCATTACTGTCCTTTGTCTGGATTCCGACCATAATTGTGTGCGCGCCCCTGGCGCTCATTCTTCTCGCTTCGGTGAAATGTTTAACGTCTAAGCTCCTCACTCCTAACTTGAGCTCGCAATTCACCTTTCGATTATATCGGCAGGCCTCCAAATTGCTCATGCTCTACCATTCCTTACTGTGTAATCATTAGCAACACACATGCCTTTGGTTTTATTGAAACCACCGCGTTTTTACTTTTTTTTCATCCTTCTGCTATGTTATCATGTTAACGTATATGCGTGATATTTTGTAATCGCTGTTTTCGCCACCTTACAAGAAATAAACTGAAAAGGATTGCGATAATTGTGTAACTTAACACCGCATTGGGTGTTCGGAAAAAGTTGGGTAGCATGAGCATTCTCATTTTACTTATCTCTACTACCCGATCACTTTTAGGAAGGATGGATTAATTAAGGAGTACCATTAAGTTCAGAGAATATGCACCGCTACAAGAAACCTGGCTTCACTAGGAGGCGGATGACGCACTTGTATCGGTAAGGAAAGCGTAAGGAAGTTACTTGTTACGGCGATCACAAATTCAAATGGAGGCAATGTTTTGCACAGAATATTGACCAACTGAGAGAAGTGCTATCATCCACCGACTTCAGTTTATTTTTTGTTACTGATGTATTTGTGTATTGCTCAGTTGACAAGCTACCTGAACTTATGTTTCGACATTTGTTGTTCGTACGAAACTGTTCACCCATCCGAACAGGTTCTCTTCCCCCTCATCGGAAGAGGGTGCGTAGGCTAAAAGAGCTTTCAAAACAAAAGACTCTCCCTTTCCTTATTAAGAAGGACTTACGACTTCAATAGCATGTACCTTCGGGGTATAATTGGGGATAGTAGCTATCGTGATCTATGTAGTATGTTGGAAAAAAAACTTAGCTGAGTTACTCGACCACTGACATAGATGTGAATAAACTGAACCGTGACCTCTGCAATTGCTACAACAGTCCGATCTCTGACTGATCCTTTGCCAAGTCTAAATTGTCTGCAGACTCACTGCCCCTTGCCGACAGCAGTACTTTACATAAACTACTGAAACAGCTTCACTCGTAGAAAAAATGCGGTCTGCACATACTGTCTCCAACTGTCCTCAAGGAATATGTTACCTTCTTGCTCAAACCTCTAGCTACTTTATATATATATATATATATATATATATATATATATATATATATATATATATATATATATATATATATATATATATATATATATAGTGCATTCAACACCATGAAATTGCCGACTGCTGGAGAAGTGCTCATAGTACACCAATACAAAATAAGGGAGCAAGCAAATATCGACTAATCGTTTGTACCTCGGCAGCTTTTAGGGTGTTCAAAGAATCATTCTTGAGAAGATGCTGACATAAAGCGTCCAAATCTTTCTCTTTAATTTGCTTACCGCAGTTCGAGGTCAGCCCGAGACAGAATTGTTTTGTGCATTCGGTTTTGTCATCCCTGTGCAATATAATCAACTTCACCCAAATCTGTTTTTTGAACTTCAGCAAGTCATTCGACTGCGTAAACCCTGTGTCGCTGTTAAAAGATCTGTTCGATGTTGCATATATCCTACTGCCGTTCTTTTGTTGGCTTTTAGCCGGACTGTGTTTCTGGATGTTGCTGACATCTTGAAAGTGACACCCCAATGAAACTACCTTCTTGCTTCAGCTAAACTAATCGATTTTCTAGGAGTCCATCCATTATTCCCCCTCTTGGAGTTAGGAGAATAAACGGTCTCAGATGCTTTTTGCATAGTCGATTCGTGTACCTCATGCGTCTTTGCCATGTGGACTGATACTCTTGCTTCACTGTTCACGAATACCGGTTGAAGCGAAAGCAACCAAATTGAGCACTGTCGCTGAAGCCGGAAGAGTTATCCAAGAGCGCGCACACACGGTCACAATTGAGACGTGCACTGATTTACGCCATCTATTGCTGATGTCAATGTGGTCAAATTGAGCATGACAGTCTGTCCTTCGGTGTCCACCTGCCACCATATGTGAGCTCTTGAAGTCCGTGCTGCCAATATGGATGTTGTGAACAGCGCACAGCTGAAGGAAGCAGTCATCATTATCAGTATGCCATTCATCGATACCGTACTTATTCTTTTAGGTGGCCGGATTGAATATTCGTTTTACCTTCGACGGTACTGACGTCCGTACTTGTGGTCATCCGGATAACAGAATAGCTCTTTATTGGACTCATCATTGACTACTTCCGAGTTTAAGTTAGTGGCATAGTTCAGAGCTATAAATGTAGAGCCTTATCTTCAGTCGCCGTTTTTTTGATTATGGGAAACCTCAGTCGAATAGTGCATATGTGGCTGTCCGTTCTATACGGAAGAATACTCCGACACGACAAATGTCGCAAGTCATTGAATCGACATCACCGGAAATACGTAGCATATAAACCCCACCACTCAAGCCCTAGGGACCGATGTTCTCTTTCACCGTCGGAGACAATCCGCGGCGCTCACTTTCCGTCGCTGTTGAACTTGTGTTCCTTAAAGTGTTTCCCACTAGTTTCTTTTGTCATACTCATCGGTCTCTCCCAGAGACTTTACTGTCTTCCACCTGCCACGCTATATGGTTTGAGTGTTTGTATAGCTATTCGAAAACGACCAGTTTACATCGCTAAATGGACCAGGAAGGTATTCTAACCGTCCCATCAGGCTGAAACCCAACTCTTATGTGGCGCAATTTCCAACATCATGTCAGGTACTACCTCTTCGTACCCCGGCAAAACATTTTGATCCAAAAAATTGTCTGTGTTTATAGTGATCCACAGGATCTCTTAACATAATTAACAAAAGCTTTTGATCCTTGTCTGTCCGTTATGAAATTGAGATCATGAGTGCATTTGCGCATCTTGTGTTCCACGAGGATAAAGATTATGGGGATCATGTAAACGGGGTATTACGTACCACACAACTGCACTTGACATGCACACAGAGTTATGACGACTGCATCTAATAGGCACTGTAGCTGCAAGCCAATAGCTGCAGCACCGGCGGACCAGCTTCCTCGCAACGTTCACTATCATCCTCATGGTCAGCTGAATTCATTTTCGGACCATTGAACAAAATACACTATCCAGCTTTTTCTACTGTTTTCTTGTGGCACCCCTTCCTGCAGTTTTCCTCACAGCCTCGATCACACACACTATACATGTTAGCTATAGGTTGGAAACATCTCAGCTACTGTACCACAATATATAAAAGAAAAAGGGAATAAAATGCAACAGGTGCAAGCTAGCTGAGCTACCGGTAACAGATGGGCATCGTTCCGGTAAGCTACCTGCCGACTACTATGCAGCAAAAACAATAATTTACTATGCACAATTATAAAATCTAAATAATGAGATCGTGGTTGGAGGGGGAGGCTAAGAGGGATTGGATGGGACAAAGAAACTCAACACGAATGCCACTGAGGTCAGCTCCTAGCCATATTAACAAGCGTGTTCATCGTCTTTCGCACCCCAACCAGGCAGCCGAGACGCTCCAGCTGAGGCCAGCTTCGAAGTGATGGCCTTCATTCCTCTTGACCAAGTCATCGCTTGGCCTCCTCTTCTTCCATCCACACCCGCGACGCGCAAACAACGCACGTCGCGGGTGTCGGTGGGCTGGCATGCGTAACACGTGGCCGAGCCATCCGCGCCTGGTACGTGAAATAACGGTGCTGAGCGGTTCGTTTCCTGTGACGTAAACAAGGTGTCGAACAAGCTCGTTGCTCACACGGTGTTCCCACCAGATGTGAGCTAAATTGCGAAGGCACCGGTGGTCGAGCGTAACTAGCCTCTTTATGTCCGCTGAGCTAAGGGGCCAGGTTTCACAACCGTACAATAGGGTCGAACGTACCGCTACATTGTACTACAGCCTCGATAAACCTAATTTATCGAGGGAATTGGTTTGTTCATGGTGTCATATTTTGGTCACTGTGAATTACAATTCACAGTAGTAAAAAGTCCCATTATATGATTAAAAGTCGATACAAGCGAACATGTTTTCAATAATTCCTCTTCAGACTTGTACAGTTATATATGGAAAGCTACAAATGTTTGACACAACGTATAGGTCAGTTCACAGTCACTGATAAAGCACAATCACTATCTGTTAGGTCATAAATGCGGCGTACACTCCATTTCGTGAGCTGGATGTCTCAGTTCGGATATGCCAAGGCAGTTTTAGCGTCTGAACGAGCCGTTTCTGAACACACAACTCCGGCTCGTACAATCGGACAAAGTGCATTAGTAAGCGTTTGCTTGAATCCGCGGAGGCCATCGCGATTCGATCGTACGAGCCGTTGTGTGTTCAGAACCGGCTCGTTCTGACGTTAAAACTGCCTTGGTCCACCCGAACTGAGACATCCGGTTCACGAAATTGAGGGTACGCCGCATTTATGACTTAACGCATAGTGATTGTGCATGAGCAGTGACTGTGAAGTGAATTTGTCTTACCAACCTTTACGTTGTGTCAAACATTCTGTTTTTTTACAAATAATTGTACAAGCCTGAAAAATTATCGAAAACATATTCGCCTGCATCGACTTTTAATTACAATTCACGAAGCTGAATGGTAGTACTGACAATTTATGAGTAGTACACGTTTATTTAACATTTCGCCACTCCGCCCACTTTTTTACCACGATAATTTACACGTTGGCAGACGTTGGCTTATAACTGAATTATCAGTTATATCCGAACGAACTAACTGACATTCATGGTCATTTATGTTTATACGTTTGTTTATATGACATTTCTGCCTTTTTAACCATGACGTAAGTGTTTACCGTCCTTAGTTTTGCTGCGCTACGTTTACGGAGCCTCCATTACTGCCGCTGTTAAACATAAAATAAAAGATAAACATGCATATTCTCGATGTTACACTAAACACACCAAAGAAGGCATGATCAGTTTTGTAAAAGCAGATATCCGACGATTTCAGTTTGATCAAATATTAGTCTTGACAAAGTGAGTAGATTCATGAAATCCAAAACATGAGATGTGGTTGTGATAACTTTTTCCGTTGAAATAGCAAATCGTTTTTCGAATACGAAGGTGTCCTTAGGCACGAATGATGGTATCTCATGTAACTGTTTACTCAGTGACTCAACTTGTGTCCGAACTTAACTAGCTTTAT